TTGAAAATATGATTTTCTAAATAGGGAATACGATTCCCAGTTGAAGGGAGAGATAAATTTTTGAAATTCGCCCCTTATTCTGCAATCTTTGGGCGTCCATAGGATGGATCTCTCATCCCTTCACTCATAAGGTATCTCCTCTAAGCCATTAGAAACTTATCATGCTACCCCACTCCCTAATCAATTCCTAAAATCTTTGCCTATAATCTATACCCACTCTCTCTCATTTGAAATATTCATATCAATTAATAAATAGTTAAATATTTAATATTTAATCCAACCCTTATTTAATGATCAAGTATTAAATAGTGTTATTATCAAAAGTTAATAAATATGGTTAGTAAATTACCAAAAATTAAATATTCTTATTAGTATAGTTAGTAAATTACCAAAAATTAATAAATAATATTATTAATTAACTCATCATGACTTTTTAAAGTATTTTGGGTAAATATTGTTATATTCATGTTAATTAACAACATTTTGGCTAAATACTGTTAGATTAATTAACTCATCATGTTAATTTCCAAAATTGAGAATTATATATAAGAATTATCAAAAAGTATACAATTTTAGTTATTGATATTATTATAGATAATAACCGAATACAAGTGGGGGAATAAAATATTATAATGTTGGAAAATGAAAATTAATTAATTTATGTGGAAAATAAAAGACAAATTAATGTAATTTTGTTAGTAAACTGCCTAATAAAAATAAATATTTAACAATAATTTAAAATAATTTTCAATAAATCTTCATAATTATATAAATGTAATAAAATTTTCAAAAAACTTCAAAAAACTACATTTTTGTAAAATAATATTTGGAAATTAAAAGATATAAAATTTTTGAAAGTTTATTTAAAATGTATTAAATAATTATTCAAAATTATTGGAATATTTTGGAAAAGTTATTATATTTGATAGATTTTGGAAACTATTGAAAAGTTATATAATTTTCATTGTAAATAATTGAAAATTATTAAAGATAAATGAGTATGGGGAGGGAAATTGTAATTTGAACCAATAATTACACAAATTATTAAGATAAATTAGTATAATATTGGAAAAAAAGTAATTAATGATTAGTTTATATTAGAAAATATAAGATAGATTAGTGTAATTCTGTAAGTAAACCATTTTAAAAGAAAATAAATTATTTAATAACAATTTAAAAACAAATTTGAATAAATTTTCAAAATTACAAAATTGTTATAAATTTTCCAAAATTTTCATAAAATTATATTTTTAAAAATTAAAGACAATTTAGTGTACTTTTATAAATTTACCATGTGGCTGATACTTATATATCCTATTGATTATTTTTGTCATCAATTTGAATATTGGGTTGATAGGGAATGGATGTTTTGCCTTGAACCCACCCAACATTGGGGATGGGGCAAGGAAATTCGAGGATTCCCCGTCCTTAACAAGGAGCGGGTGCCTTGCTTTGAACTCACTTGACATTGGAGACGGGGTGGGATGGGGTAGAGGGTCTTCTACGGAGCAGGGACATGGATGGAATGCCCCGCCTTGAATCCACCTTGTTGCCATTCCTATATAATTGTTAATTATTACTGAAATTAATAAAGATGTTAGCTTTTATAATTATTTTTATTTATTTAAAGTCAACCAAAATTTTATTTAGAAATAATAAAAATAATAATAGTTATTAAAATTAGTACAAATGATTAATAAAATTAAACTTATTAAAAAATATATATTCATATTAAATTAATAATAATTATTTTCTGTAAATCAACATTAAATGAAAAATAGAATTATTAAAATTTTAAATATTAATAATAACTTTGAAAACTTTTAATTGATTAACAACAAATTTTGATTATTAATTTATCAATCGATTAATACTAAATAAAACTATTCAATTATTCAGATTTTCCCGCGCATGGAACGGATCTCCGCTAGTATTATATAAAAATGTAGATATTAATCTTGATTTTGAGATATACCACAAATTAAATTCGATAATATTTATTACTTATGCACTTTTCCTGAACAAGTTAAGACAACATAGTCGAGTAGGAAAATTCCCATAAATAATTGAGTGCACTGACCCTAAAATGGGGGACAAATACACCCAAGAAAGTGAGAAACCACTACGAAACATCGCTGTAATATCCTCCACGAGGAACAATTATTATTTCTCATTATTGTGATCAGAATTAATTTGGCATAAATAGGCAAATGCTCAGGAAGGAGCAAAGCGCCATATATTAATTGCGTTGTATCTTCGGAGAAATGATAGAACAGAACAGAACGCTACAAAACATAACAAGAGACAAAAAGGGTAAGGGGTCGGTGGTTTATCAGTTGAGATATCAGCTCCGTTGGACGTTGGTTGGCCTCCCAAGTCTTCATATCTTTCCAATTGGTGGGCCCGTCCCAAGTCCCAAGTCCCAAACACTTCTCACTTCTTGTGGAGTCAAAAAAGCCACGGTGACTGGGTTTGGGTGAGAGTTTCGACAAACATGTCTGGTCCCTCCTCCTAGCTCCTACCTCCTTAGGATATTATTCTTACCGTGTGGTGTGGGCTACTGGGCTTGGCTTCAGTTCAGTTGGGACTTCATATATCAGATAATCCAGGACTAGGAGGAGATTCATCGTTGAATTGAATGCCGCTCATCTCTGATTATTCCAACCTGATTTAGATATGAAATGAGTTAGTTCCACAAGTGATTGCAATAACTAATTATGACGAGGAAACTTACAACCGGAGGACTACACTGGACAATGAAATAATTCCATTTCAGGTCAATTTCATCATATCATATTGGTAGTTAGAGTAAATAGTAGAGCAGCGTCTGCGTAGGATACTAGGATCCATCCAAACAAGGACAATTGACAGAAACAGAGACGAGACGAACTGCAGCAAGGCCCCCCAACTCGTAAATGATTCCATCTACAGCCACGAGGGGCGTTTAGCTGTTTACAGTTTCTGAGGGGGATTGCAGTCCAAAAACCCTGACAGGGGGTGAGAAGAGGTGTAACAAAGCGTGCGTACAGTCTCTGCCCTGCTGCTACAGCCTACAGTAGTGCTAGACCAGGGGGCTGAGGCGCTGAGCAGAGCAGGACTGCCGTTGCCGTGCGTCACAACGCAACTGCACTATCACGGAAACTTCACTTTTCCCACGCTCCCGTGATCCTGATCCTCATTTTGGACAGAGTAGTAGTCCACCAGTCCGTCCATCTAGGAATCGCAACGGGGCGGGATCCCCATTTCCCATTATTTCTTATAATGTTAATTATTTTGTTTTTGTTTTTTATTTTTTTTAAAAAATAAAAATAAAATAATTAAAATTTATAATCCTATTAAAAAATATTTAAATATATTCAACCATATTTTTTAAAATATTAATATATAAATATAATTATATATATTAATGGAGATTCCAAGGAGCAGGGATCGAGCTTCCCACGGGACGAAGAGTGCTCTCCCCGTCTCTGCCCAGTCCCCATTAACGGGGATGAAAATTTCCACATCCCCGTTTTCGTAGAGGGATGTGGAAATTTAAATATATTCAACCACATCCCCACCCCATTTGGGACGAATCTCCACAGAAATCGAGAAAATGAAAAAAATTGCCATCCTTACGTCCATCCCTAATCCCACCTCATTTTCCCTTTGTTCCTACCCCATTCATTTCTTCTGTCCGTGCCCTGCCTGCCCGGGTGTGCTCAATCCTCAACTGAGACAGACTGAAACCAGATGCCTCTGGCCTGGCCTGGCCGGCTGGCCCTGCCCTGTTTCTTCTTCCTGCTTCTACTACACTCTCTAGATTCTGGACTTAAAACAAAATAAAAAAAATTGGCTCGAATATGATACCGAGAAATGGTAACCGATCAGTTGGTATCATACCTTTCGGCATCGTACATTTATCAAAAACAGAATTTGACCTTCATGATGCTTTGATGAAAGGAATCTACTGATATAACCTTTTTTATTGCCAAAATTGCCCCTAAAGTTGTAGACAATTACGTGGTTTTATCACCTTCGGCGGTTCGGCCGTACCCTACAATTATTATTATTGTTTATTTATTTATTATTTATTTGTATAAGATAACATGGTTAATTCCAAAACTATAAATAACGTTGATGGGCCCCTCTTGTCGCACTGGGCCTGGCTGCACGCTCGGAGCGGTAGTAAAAGGCTAAAAGCTCTGCGTTGCGTTGATCCTTGATCGTCACGCGAACCATCTCTTCCCCCTCCGTTTCTTCTCTTGCCTCCTGCTAGATCTGCAATTCCATTCCTAAACCATTTAAGGATCCGATATATTTCTTTTCTTCTACTTTCTTCCCCCTTTTCAACTTTTTGGATTTGCCTTCAGCCAATCGATCGATCCGGATCTCTGTTTTTGAGGGTCCCGTTTGCGATTTTCGAGGCGGTCTCTGTTTTGTTCGGTATACATATGAAGCATTTTCTAGGGTTTTGAATTCGTTATAGTATGTGATCGGAAATGGGGTCCGGAATGCCTGCCGTGTCCCCTTCGTCCTCTTCCGCTCTCTCTGCAGATATTGCTGATATTACCATCTCAAGTGAGTTTCGCAATTTCTTTTTTATTTGCTTCGTCGCTTCAGTTATCGTTATTTTTACTAGTGTCACAATGACGATGTTCATGTGGAATTCGTTTTCCATAAGTTGAAACCGTAAATATTCTTTTGAACTTAGGAGAATTACTTCTGGCTTTTCCATTGTAAATATATAATTTTCCGTCTTCTTTAGGACGGACCGTGCGGGTTTTAGCTGACGAAATATAGGATGCACTAGATGCTGAAAAGTACAGCCTCCCCAGTGCATTAGTCCAAGCACTGAAGGTCTTAGATGTGTGTGTGGGTCTGTGTGTGTGAGAGAGGGAGAGAGAGCGTAATCTATCGTTGCATTAAAATTTATAAATATATGGTTGACAATTGGAAAGCTTTCAGCCGGTCGGATTAGTAATGTATGGATACTCACCTCGGATGAATGCTGGCATCATTTGGGAGTCTTGTGACGTTGGAATTTATTGGAAGGTGTATTGCAGAGTGCCAGTATAATCTGAAATGATGCAAAGGTTTGGGTAGAGTTTCAGGATTAGAACACTTGGCATATTAATTAATACTGTTAGACATATTTATTGTGGTGAGAGTTTCAGTCTTTGCACGTGGATTGGAAAAAGCGTAATTGCTGAATTGGAGATAAAATGTGTCATTTTGGAAAGGATCTCCTTTTCTTTATTTCTTTCTTTCTCTCCTTTTCTCTCTCTTAAGGAAAAAGGACAAAAAGGAGGGAAGAAAGAGTAATTCCATCATTCCATGCTTAAGCATGTTACATTGTTTCCATGGGCAGAGCACCATATTTTACGCTATCAATAGTAAAAGGGAGAAAGAAGGAAAGAGAAATGACACTCTTATGAATGTTATGTTGTTTCCACAGGAAGTGCACTACTTGTGATGTCAGCATCAGCAATAGTAAAAGGCTAGTTGTTTATTAGAGTTATTTTTGTTTTCCATTCCTATTAAATCTGTTGCAGTCGGTGATATTAAAGGCACACCTCTAGGCGCACAGGTGAGGCGCATTTTAGGGTAGGCACCTTGCCCAGGCCCTAGGCACAGCACTTTCAAAAGGTGCACACATGGTGTGCCTAGGCGTACGCCTGATGCACCTTGCACCTTGGCTCAGGCTTGCGCCTTTTGAAAATTGTACGTTTTTTTTTGCTTTTTCTGAACCTAGCGACTGGGCCAAGGCTCTATTTGCCAATATTATTCATTCATTCGTCTTAGTAAAATATCTTCTTAAAAGGCAATTGAAATTATAAAATCATTATTTTTTGTGTGAGAATTAAGAATTTAAGCCCCTAAAATAGACTTGCCTCGAGGGGCGTGGCACAAAGGTGACTCGTAGAATCAGTAATGTAATATGTTTTACATCACATTAGCTACTTTTGCAATTGAGGAAAAAAAGAGATTGTGGGCTTTACATGCTTGGAAATGTTTTATATGTTGGATTTTATTTTTTAATTTTCATTTGAATATGCTTTACATGTTAAGTTTATGTATTTTAATTTTAGATAATAGGTTTTTTAAACCATTAAATTTAAAACTTAAGTTTATATTTCTTATTAATATTATGTTTAATATTTTTTATTTTTTTGGCATTTTTTTGAATTTTTCTGACTTTTTTTTTTATTTTTTTTAGCAATTTTTTTTTTTGTATTTTTGTGCTTTGCTTCAAAAAGGCGCACACCTCACCTTGCGCCTTGCGCTTTTAAAACACCGGTTGCAGTATCTTGATTGCTTCTTGTATGGATATTCTGGTTCTTTTTCTGCAATTATCTATTAATACAGCTCCAAACATGGTATACATCATGCATTTTCTTACCATTAGAAAAAGAAGGGTGGGGCAGAGATATGCTATGAAAGAAAACAAATTATCATGCTGAGCAAAACTGGAACTTCAAGATTTTTTTTTTGTCTGTAATAATCTGGAAATTCAAGAACTTTTCTCTAAATAATTCAATTGTTGGTATTTGCTTATTTTTGCAGAACTTCGGGAGAGGCATCAGGTGGAACTAGAAAATTTGACCTTAACTACCCAACCATTCAAGACTTCTAAGCTTTTTGTATTGGCTACTGCTCAATATCTTAAGAAGCCAATATTATATATTCTGACAAGAGGTGGTTGGCCTTTTCTTTTGGGTTCTTTGGTAGTGGCTACTGGATTTCTTCTTATTACCTTTGATGGTCCTCATGAAAAGGTATTTTGTTATGTCCCATCTTTCTGCCATTTTCAATATGCTATGTGCTAGTACTAGGTTATAAAACATCATTCGAATGTTATCTTTGCGCAACAAAAAAATGCTTTGTGGAGTTGTTCATTTCACCATTCATTTTCTTTTTTTTTTTATTTTTTGCAAACTATATGGTGGCTAATGTTGTCATACAACATAGTTTGTTGTAGTGGAGCTGATTTTGAGGGTGTTTGGCATAGCTGCATTTTTTAGCTGTTGTGTGTTTTTCTTAACTTGCCATTTCAGCTTTTCAGCATAAACTGTTACTTTTATGACGGGGTGTTTTTGTTGGGGGGGGGTTGCAACAACACCTCTGATGTGGCATATTGAAAGTAAGGTACCAGGAAACTTTTTGAGTTGTTACATCCTAATTGGAGCACAATGTTTTAATAACAAAAGCAGAATTCTTTAAATGTCACATCAGCATTGCCTCTCCCAAACAGTTTTCTACTAGATAAAAGCATAAAAACCTGGGGCATTGGATTGCTGATTGTGGCGAACCAGCAATAACAAAAAACACAGCCATGCCAAACACCATCTCATGTTTTTACCAGTGTTTTTTCCTTAAACCTGTTAATTCTCAATTTTTTTTTCTGGAATAAGTCTGATTAACATAACTAACATTTCATATGTGTCTAGCATGCTCAGGAATTTCTTCATTACTTCCAATTTGGTTTGTGGTGGGTAGCCCTTGGTGTGGCATCATCAATTGGTTTAGGTAAGTAAAATTATATTTAACAGCTACTAGAAGAGTCCCATCATTGCATCTATACATAAAGTATTATTGGTGAATGATTTTTTGTTGCTGGGGTTTAGTGGATATTGTAGCTATTTGCATCTTAGACATCAAGAAATTTACCTCTAGACGGCTGCTAAACAATTAAATTAATTTCGTTCTTTGTCAAAGTCAATATAAACATTTATGTAGATTATTATATTTGTTGTTTTTATGCTAACTCCAATTCTGAATTCTATTGATCATTTCTGTAAGCAGCATGGTTTTTTAACTTTGGTCAGAACTGAAGTATTTTAGCCTAACTGAGTTCCATTTATCATTACTATCAAAAAATGGTTATAGCTGATTTGCAAGGGGGTCAGACCGTGAGTGGGTGGTAGTTATTGCTTTCATGGAAATTATGAACTGAGATCAACTGATAAAAACAACAATTGGGGTTTAGGTTTGACAAAAGCTCTTCCTTTTGTCTTCAAAGTAATTTTAGGTTTTTGTATTCTTATTATCTGCATTGTTTGCAAAAATTTTCCCTTCAATCCACCTCTCTTCAGATACCTACATGCTTGTTCATATGTATTCAGTTTCATGTACCAACTTGTATGGCCTGCTCTAATTTCATTTTTGAATAATGGTGTCATCTGTCAAACATGATAACACAATGTATTATTCTGAGATCTTTTTCTAAGGTTGCCAAACCTTTTACTTGTCTTACTCTTGGGGTTCGAGGGGCTTATCTTTACTTTCTATCCAACAGCCAGACAGAATGTGTCTAGTTCTCTTGTTTGTCAGTCTGCTTTAAACTAATCTTCTTTGCCTTCCTCTCTCTCTCTCTCTCTCCAGGATCTGGTTTGCACACATTTGTGCTGTATCTGGGCCCACATATTGCACTATTTACGATAAAAGCCATGCGCTGTGGCCGAGTTGATTTGAAATATGCTCCCTATGATACAATTCAATTGAACAGGGAACCTTCATGGCTTGAGAAGGATTGCTCAGAATATGGGCCTCCAGTCTTTACATCTTCACATGGTTCAAGGGTTCCACTGGGCAGCATACTACCACAAGTTCAGTTGGAGGCTATTTTGTGGGGCATTGGAACTGCACTTGGAGAACTTCCTCCTTATTTTATCTCAAGGGCAGGTACATTCAATTAGAAGTTGATTTATGTGTTAACTAAGATCTTTAACATCATCATGTCTTCAAACTGTAGAGATGCATACACACATATATTTTACATATGTACATGCATGTTTTCATATGCAGGTATGAGCATGATGAGGAGTAAAAAATTCATGACATTTTCTCTAATAAATGCATGATGTTTTTTATTTTGGTAGTAGCACAGATCATTTGACATGAATGGCTTCCCAATACATGGCTTTACTCAAATTTTAACTAACTTTGAAAATAAAGATTGTATAGCATATTGACTTATTTCTCTATCCAGCAAGTATGTCAGGAAGCAAATTGGATGCCGTGGAAGAACTTGAGACCTTGCCAAGTGAGGACGACAGCATCATATCTAGTCACCTGAAGCAAATCAAACGCTGGCTCCTTTCACACTCCCAGCATCTGAACTTCCTTACGATTTTAGTACTTGCTTCGGTTAGCTTAGCTTCCTTTTCCTCTTTTTATTTAGTGGCATTTTCTCCAGTAGAAAAATTGACCATCATTTCTGGCAAGGGGGAAATAGTATTTTTCTGTGGACTATTTAATATTACATCTCCATAATTAGTAGCCTTTTGTTCAATTAGATGGACTGCCCATCAATTCTTCTGTTGGGCTTTTTGTTGTTCAGCTTTTGGAAGAGTACTGTCTTCTATAAATAACTGCTGTATGTCTGAGATGAGCAGTTTTTTTGTGAAACATTGTCAAGTCCATTCTGAAAATTAACTTCATCTATTCGGTTTTGGATATGAGCTGTGTTCTCATCTTGGTCTTTTAGGGCCTTCTTCCAATCTATATGACAGCACATGTAGATGTACTTGTACAAAAATCCACACTTCATGCCAGCATATTTGGTAAGATTTGCGGGTGAGGCCACAAAGAAAGGTCCAATGCAAATGAAGATGATCTAGAGTCTAGACTTACTAAGTTAAGTTGGCTAAATTCTACAAGACAAATTGTGGGTACTATGTGATAGGTGCAAGTTGAAGGGGCTAGAAGAGCTAGGGAGACCATATTATGTAAATGAACATATAGTTGGGGGGGTAGGTGGGTTCAGCAAAATGCTGTAATTATGCACCCTGCTTCCCATATTCTTGAAAAGTAGGGAATTGTCTTATTTTATTAATAAAATCACATATTACTTTTGCTTACCAATAAAATTGTCTTGAAGTATCATATTCAGTTTGCAGATGGCACTATTTTCTAAAGCCAATGGTAAAATGTCTCTCAAACTCAGGGGTGTCTTTAGATGTTTTGTAGATTTTTAAAAGTGCAAGGCACAAAAAAAAGCACAAGAGGCACAAGGCGAAGCATGCACTTTTTCAAAACAAGGCACACAAATGCAAAAAAATAAATGATTGAAATGCAAAAAATGCCAAATATGAAACATAATATTAATTAAAAATATAAACTATAATTTTAAAATAAAGGAGGGTGACAAAAACACACACTTCTTTCACAAAATGGCAAATGCCCATGCTAGAGTTTCTTCTATTAGCAAGCTGGTGTGGGAAGATAAGAGCGGGGACTTGTGGGCAGAGATTAAATCAGTTGCAACTTCTTTTTATAAGAAGCTCTATAAGGAGAGTTGGAGGTTTAGACCCTTTCTTACTTACCTCCCATTTAGGCAGCTGGATGAAGTTCAGAAAGTTTGGCTTGAGAGATTTTCCGAAGAGGAAGTTTGTTCAGCAATTAAGAAGTTAGAAGGAGATAAATCACTGGGGCCAGATGGCCTCACAAACCTTTTCTACATGAAATGCTGGAATTTTGTGAAAGATGACTTGATGAAAGTGTTCCAGGCGTTTCATTAAAATGCCTCGTTGCAAAGAAGCTTGAATGCCACATTTATTACTCACATTCCAAAAATTGAGGGGGCTGTTAATATTAAGGATTTTAGGTCAATCAGCCTTTTGCACAGTTTTTACAAAATCTTGGCTAAAGTCTTGGCAGAAAGAATGAAAGGTGTGTTAGGAAGTGTAATCTCCAACAACCAAAGTGCATTTGTTCCAGGGAGGCAGATGGTAGACTCAATTCTAATTGCTAATGAGCTAAGCTAATTGACTCGAGAAGAAGAGAGGGAACTCCGGGTGTGATTTGTAAACTTGATATTGAGAAAGCATGTGATTTCATCAACTGGAATTGTCTGGATCGTGTGTTGGACAGAATGAACTTAGGACAGAAATGGAGAAATTGGATCAGAGTTTGCATTAAGACACCAAAATTCTCAATCTTAATTAATGGTCAATCTACGGGTTTCTTTGGCAGCTCTAGGGGTTTGAGGTAGGGAGATCCTTTGTCCCCTTTGCTGTTCATCTGTGTCATGGAAATTCTCACACCTTTTAGTAAAAAGGCGGCAGATTTTGGTTTATGGAATGGGTTTGCAATCTCCCCTGGAAAGGAAAAGGTAATATTCTGCAATTTGCAGATAATACCCTATGTTTTGTTGATGCCTCTGTGATTCAATTGGAATCAGTGTTTGGGATTTTGAGTTAGTTTGAAGTGGTGTCTGGTCTTAAAGTTAATCTGAATAAAAGCTAGATCATCCTAGTGGGCCATGTTTCAAATTTAGAAGAATGTGCAAAGGTGATGGCTTGTCAAATTGACTCCCTCCCGGTAAAATATTTAGGACTGCCTCTCGGGGCTAAATTTTCTTCTTCTTCTTCTTCTTCTTCAATTTGGTGCTCAATTATTGAGAGATTGGAGAAGAAACTGGCCTTGTGGAAGGCAACATACCTTTCATTTGGGGGTAGGCTTACTTTGATTAAGAGTACTCTCTCCGACTCCAACCTATCTACATATTTCCTCTCCCTTTTCCGCATCCCAAACAAAATTGCAAATAGACTGGAGCAACTTCAAAGGAATTTCTTGTGGAGGGGTTGGGAGGATGAGAAGAAGATTCACATTGTAAAGTGGGATCAAGTATGTCTCCCTAAGAATGCTGGTGGGTTAGGAATACGAAAGCTAAAGAAGTTTAATTCTGCCCTTCTTAGCAAATGGTTATGGAGATTTGCTTCTGAGAGGAATGCATGGTTGAGAAATCTTATTGCGGCTAAGTATGGTGTGGAATAGGGTGATTGGAGGTCTAAGGAGCTTAATCTCAATGGGGGAAGATTCCTCTGGGCAGGTATCTTGAAGAACACTCCTCTCTTCCTGGATGGGATCAGATTTAAAGTCGGTAAGGGGGATAGAATCAAATTTTGGAAGGACCCCTGGTGTTTAGTGGGTCCACTGGCTGATGTTTTTCCCCTTATTTTCCAAATTTCTGTGAATCAAGATTCTTCTGTTGCTGAAAATTTTAGCATTTCTGGTGATTCTTTCATTTGGACTCCTCTTTGTAGGAGAAATTTGTTTGACTGGGAGGTGGAAGAGTATGGGGAATTGTTGGGGCTGCTCCAAAATCAGATGATTGATTCGAATTCAGAGGATGAATGGGTTTGGAAGTGGAATGCAGATGGTAGTTTTTCAGTCAAATCCCTATTTCTGAAGCTGTGTGGTTCAGGTCATGAGAATTTCCCTGTTAGACAGGTTTGGAATCCAACTAGTCCCTCAAAGATCAATTTTCTGGTCTGGACTATGGCCCTTGATAAATGTCTGACCAAGACTAATGTGGAGAAACGAGTTATTCAGATCCTGGATCTCTCTTGTGGTTTGTGTGGAAAGAGTGCAGAAACTACAGAGCACTTGTGCATCCACCGTCCGGTTTCGTCTGTGTTCTGGGGGCATTTTCTTAAGGCTTTGGAGATTAGCTGGACCATGCTAAAATCTGTGAAGGAGCTGCTGATGTGTTGGAGAGATGAGGGCCTCAGCAAGAAAGGAAATATTGTTTGGAGTTCCATCTCAGCAGCTGTGTTTTGGTCCATTTGGACTGAAAGGAATAGCAGAATCTTCTGTGGTAAATTTAAAAGCCCGGATGAAATCTTGCAGAGAGCTGTGGAGAAGCTATGCTCCTGGGTGTCTGTGAATGAGGAATTTAAAAATCAGAATGTACCCCTGTTGTTTTGTTCTAAGTCTTGGAACAGCTTGTAATGTGTATTGTGCCCAGGCAGATCTAGTGGTCTGGATCTTGTTGTATCCCTCTTCAATATGATGAATAAAGTGCTTTACCTTTTTCCAAAAAAAAATTATGATCTCCAAGTTAACCTAGAAAGGACAATGTTGCTGGTATCAACTGCAGGGATATAGACACTGGAAGATTTACTGATATCTTTTGGCATTTAGGTGTGGGTATTAGATTATCTTGGTCTCCATTTAGATCGGACATTTCAAATTTCTTGAGTGATCTGCAAATTATGGAGCAGGCGCAAATATGTTTGTCAGAAGATATTTGATTCTGTAGTTGAGGATCATCTGATGAAACTGAACGTGTCTTGGGAGTTGGACTAAATAAAATAAATCTCTAGTTTATCTAAATAGAAAGAAAGAAGAATGTTGGATCTTGTATTTCCAATTCCATTGAATAAAATCTTCTAATAATACAGCTGTGGCAAATAAAATCTATTTATAGATGCAAGTCTGTGCTATCTGGTATACCATCTTGGTACACTGGTCAAAACCAAGCCCTTTAATTTGTTTACACAAACGCTAATAAAGCCATATTGCAATATTATATATATTTTTATTTTGTCAGTCTCAAGCAATCACTATTATGTTAGGACATTGTGTTGATTTTCATGATAGTGTTTTAACTGAAAATATATTTTTCAGGTGCCAAACCCACTATTTGACCTTGCTGGAATTATGTGTGGCCAATTTGGGATCCCCGTTTGGAAGTTCTTTCTTGCAACATTGACTGGAAAGGCAATTATCAAGACCCACATACAGGTTTGTTAACTGTTTATTCATTCTTCAGACCTGGAAAGCAGTGTGGACCAGAGCATTTTTCCTTTATGCTGTTTGCTTTGGTCAGCATGTTTTTCCTATTTTCTGTAACTGAAGGACTGACTTTGGTCTTTCTCTTTGCTTTATTCTGGTTAATAAGATTATATTTCTTTTGATTCTAACCCAAAACTAAGTTTGAAGAAATAACTATATATACTCGTATATATTTATTTTCCTCATATATACTAGTGCTCTTCTATCAAATATCTTGATCTGTTACTAGTTTTGGGAATCTGGATCCAGTGTGAAAATCTGATTTCCCTCTCTGACAAACTTGCAGACAGTTTTTGTCATCTCGGTTTGCAATAATCAACTTCTTGAATGGATAGAAAATGAGTTGATTTGGGTTCTTGGCCATGTCCCTGGTCTCTCATTTATCCTTCCCAGCATTGTTGCTAAGCTGCATTCAGTCAAAGAGAAGTACATAACTCCCCCACCTCCAGTGCACTCTACTGTCAAGGTATTGTCAATGTATTTTGTACTGATATATGCATACAATCTCAGTCCCTGTTACAAGAAAATTACTGCATTGTATTGCAATTCATCTGTTAGAGAGTGATGTAATTTCTCTTTTTTTATTAGTGATATAATTTCTCTTTGTTTTAGAGGTTTTCTGTATTTTTTCCATTTCTTTCTATTTAGAGAGTAAAAAAAAGTAAAAGATTTTACTGCATAGTCTTACAATACAAATTTGGAGTAAAATTGATCAGCAACAGTATCAAAGTTCTATTAATTATTTGAAAAAAATAATTACAATAAATTGTGCCAGGCACCCCTATTGTAGACTTTCAGTTGCTTCCACACCCTCTGGTTTTTGCTATTACAAAGCATTTCCTTCATAAGTCATACCCCTATATAGTGCTCCCTATTACAACTCTTTGGCTGAATTTCTTATTTCCCTTGGCAAGCACTTACAGTCCTAGGTTCCCAACATGTTATCTTTGAACAAGCCTGCACTATTTTAGAATTGCCTTTCACCACCAAATCTTTATTGGAGTGATCTGGGCAGTCTTAAACCATGCAAGACTGCTAAAATTTCTGCCCTTGTAGAGTCTCCAAATAGTGCCTTCAAGAGGAACTTTATTTTTGGTGAAAAAACGAAGGTGATACACAAAACCGGGGGGGGGGGGGTGGTAGAAATTCCCAAGCAATCAGCAAAACATAAATACAACAAACCACTATTACTAGAATGGTTCTTGTGGTTGCCATATTATCTTCTTGGTTCTCTATTCAAGGATGTATCAGCGATTACTTGCCAATTTCTCATGATGTAATTAGTTGAGAATCAGTCAAAGACATGGAGTGATTTTTCCAATGTGCCACTCTCACCATAATAGTCTCAATTACTGTTTTCTTAGTCTAACTTTTGTCTTTGAAAGTTCTTGCATTTCTTTCTTCCCAAACTGTCCAAAGTACTGTAGCCCTTCTGGATCTCTATAGGATTTTGCCCCTTTTCCTAGGTGGTGAGAAAGAATATGACTAAAAGAGATTACCCAAATCTGTTGGGGGATTCCACCTGCACCCAAATATGAGAATAAAAAAATCCCCAATGTCATGCACAAATGAAGAAGAGATCAGTGCATGAAATGTAGATTATCACTTGCTCTGTAGAGAACATGTGGGGAGATTGACACCAATTTGGCCCCTTTCCGTTATGATGTTCACAAGGTATTAACTTTCACTACAATACAGCCTTGACCTATCTAGGATTGGATGAGAAGGCATGAAAGAAGCACAAGAAAACTGACCTGATTGCAAGAGGACCAAACGTTTTTGTCACTACAAGAATCATCCAAAAGAAAACCATTCAAATATTCAATAAGCTCTATTCATCAATATATATATATATATACACAGATATATACTAGTAAACATGTACGTGCATTTGCATGTGACAGTATCTCCAAGACAAAATTATTTACAATTCATGGACAGTTTTTGAACAGTTTTAAGTGGGCAGTTTTTTAACTGTTATAAGTGGGCAGGTTTTGGAGTGAGAGTAAAGGACATATATGCCTTTTTTTATGCCCGTTGTATGTTGCTTAGATAAGGGGTAAAAATGTCTAATGCAAAGTCCAGAAAATGGGGCTATTTGCTCTTTTACTAGTAGCACAGATATATATATATATATATATATATATATATATATATATTCAATAAACTCCTAAACAACTTCAATCTCATTATCCCTTGACCCTCTTCTGAAATCAAAGTTCCAAATAAGTCCTTGGTTAGAAACAGAAATGCACTGAAAAACAACAAACTCTTTATTGTTAACCAAGGATAATAGACTACTAAAACAATCCTTCAAAAGCTGATTGCCCCACCATAAATCAGTACAAAACCTGGTTTTGTTACCAGAGAATACTTAAACAAAACATAATAACAAGCCAGGAGACGTGCATCTAGGTAGGGGTGAGATGCACCTCAAAAAATGAGCCAGGCATGCCTTTAAAACGTTTGAGCCTACCTAGCTAACCTTTAGCAAGGAAATAAGCTAGAGCATTAGCTGATCAGGACCAACCTGAATGAGCAGTTCAGGAGAAGTGCTTCTGAAGAAGGCATCCATGAACCCATGGGCCATCAATTTATGACATCCAACCTGTAACTATGTGATAGACTCCTTTGCCCATCAGGGAAATCCAACCAGAAAAATAGGCCAGCTTTGGACCTTGAGATAGAGAAAGTAATTCATCTCTTAGAGGCCATTACTTGGTTTGATGGTAAAATCTCGGGCTGGAATGCATGAGAATGCAGCCACTTTGTGTGAAAAAATGCCTGAGGTTAGGATTGTACCTTAGTCAAAATGCCACTAGGTGTCCAAGAAACTCCAGAAAGAGGGAAAAAGTGGTCCTATACATCTGCAGTATATCATACTTTTAGATGGGATGATCATTTGCAGCAATGCACAGAAATTTCTGGGTTTGGACCTAGGTTTTGTGTCTAGGCTGGGCCCAAAATCTATTCTATGTACTTATGCAGTTGTCCACATCAGCTTATTTTCTCTCCTCCTAACATTGCTTCTCAACCTCCTCAAAAGTTTGTTTTTTTGAACTTTCATAAGATAAAAAAAATCAAACATGGGGCCGTTTAAACTTATCCACAACCAATTCAGTTTTCTTTTTATTAGGAAACTGAATGTCCCCATTCACAGGCCTCCTCTAGTATATACTTGTGTGTGTGCTATTTTATTTATATAGAATTGTATTTTATATTATATAAAGTATAAGATGAATTTTATAAATATTTAGTATTTTTATTTAATGTCATATAACCAAAGCCCAGCTGGCTTATGATCACCCCTACTTTCAGTGTTTTACTTGTGCCCCCTCTTGTATACATGGGCATTTTGTAATTACTTGATTTTTCATATTTGATTACCATAAAGAGTACTTTTTCAAATGAATTACGTTATACTTTTAAGTTGTTATTTTTGCGTATGTCTAGTCACCTAAATGTGTATTGGTGGTCCAAAGATAAGCAACACAACTATTATAGGTAAAATGAAATAAAGAAGCTTACCCCAGTAAACTGCATTCATCCAAATGTTGTATATTATGGCCTGTCAACGAGGACCGACAGGAATTGAATTAGTCTTTCCTTGGTTAATGTTTTCCAAAATCAAGTCAAACTCTCTTAGTTTTGTTTTGTTATTTATTTATTTTGTAGAGACAAACTCTGTTTGTTTGTTGACCGTTAGATCACAACACCTTCATGGAGTCAGTTTTCTGGCTTCTTTGTTGGAAGAGGGGCAAATTTTCCCTGTTTTATTAGTACAGTTTATATGATGGGTTCTACTTTTAAATGTTATTGTTGCTATGCAAATATCTTTATGTTAGTGTACATCGATCATTTAAAAAATTCAGTTACTCATCAGGTTATCTTCTGTCTGAAAGGAATTGATTAATTCCTTCAACAAAACATAAATGACATTTAATCCCTTTTCTTGTTTGCTGTCACTTGTCAGGTGAAGAAGTGGAATCTGTCATTTGCATCAATCTGGAACACTGTAGTGTGGTTCATGCTTCTCAACTTCTTTGTCAAAATTGTAACAGCAACGGCACAGAAATTTTGTAAGAAACAGCAAGAAAAAGAATTGGCTGCATTAACTGACCAGTTATCAAAATCAAGACATTTAAATGGAGAGAGTGGCCGAGTATCAAATTGAGCTCATGAAACCCCATTGGTTCCATTGGTGTTTTTGTTTCCAGCAATTGTAGTTGATGGCAGTTAAATTTAAAATCTGTCATCATTAAAGCCACCCCAAGCTTTAACTCAGTCTGCATCAAAGGTTCCCTGTTAGAAGTATGTACAAAAAATAAACATATGCGGAAATAGGAAGGAGTTACGGGATTATTTATTTTGTGATATGGGAAGCAGCACGTTGAAGGTGGTGTGGTAGCATTATTTGTACTGTTGGAATTGGAATTGGGAACTTGGGAGGAGTATTATACTCCTCGGGCGATGATGATGCATGCAACACGCCAACGGCCAACACCAATTATTTGCTTTATCAATTATCAACTATGAGCTATCTGGTAAGGCTACATTAGTTGTTAGAGTTTGGTCGCTCAACTCATTGATTTTTCCTAAGAAAGAATTCCGTGCTCGCGTAAGCCCACTTGCTGATGATTGCCTTGATGACCCAGGAGCCAGGACCCTCCTATTTTGTTATGTTGATTGCAATCGCCCTTGCACTTGCATTGTCTGTTTTGTTCATGGAAATGTGGAATGCTGCATGAAGCATTTTTATCATCAGCTTGGAATGGCTTTTTAGCCAATGGTTGCATCTGAGCCTAGTGATTGATCATCCCACTAATGGGATTATGGGACCGGACCCATCCTCGTAACTTCAGGTTCAGGATGCCAATCCACTCTCTAATGGAGGAAATGATACTTTGCCTAATTTGCACGCGTCCTCAAGCCTCACGTACCTAAATTACAATGTTTAAATGTCACTTCGCATTTGGGACAGTTTCTACAGAATGAATCTGATTTCACCAAAGTCGCTGGGTACGCAGGATGCTCACCTTAACTAAACCTTTGGCATTTCTTGCACAAAGTCACCGGCTGCTCTCAAATTTGAAATCGCGTTCTCCTGCTTGCTTATCAGCTTGAGATTTTACCACTACACTAGGCAATTGCCCCTACTCCCCAAGCCTGTGTTTTTGCATAAAACCCAACCATGACTTTCCCCTCAAGAAAGAAGCTGGAAAACATTAAGGTAGCTGAGACAAAAGGTGCAGACTATGTATTGCTTTTGCTTGGTTCCTGGTAGATGGCCACTGAAATATGATAAACATCAAATGCTATACAGTTTCAAATTCGGGAGACATTATTTATGTACATGTTCCTTCGGATAAAAAGCAAGCCAAGTACCATAAAATCCCAATCAGCATTCTTCACTTGACCCAGCATTTAAACATTTCATTTTGCATATTGATTATTTAGGAAAATCTTGCCTGCTCCTCCCACCTAAGATCTGCAGCAAACTCTGAAAATGCAATCCGAGGATTACCATTTGAAATAGACAAGTAATATTCAGCTGTACTATCATCAACATGCATGCTTCTCCTCAATGAGTCGACTACCCTCCTCTTCCCTCTCTCTGTAGCTGACCTATCTGATAGATGGGTGAGCTTTCCACCAGGAATGCCTTCTAAATACAACACAGCAACTTCTCTTTTTGCGCAAGTATCCAACTCTATGTAGCAGATGCTATCTACAAGAAGATCTGGTTTACTTATAGGGATCAACAACCTCTCCCTTGAATATATGCCATGGTCACTCATCATATTGTTCAAGCGTTTAATGTCCATGACCTGCAGATAAAAAAAGTTATCCAGCATGATATTGTATTCATTGTCCATTTAATTAGAAAGGAAAAAAAATTAAAGTTGGGAAGCAAATCTTTTAACAACTGTGAAGCCAATTTCCAGAGGAGAACATGGTAACAGAAACAACAGCACAAGGGAACTAAATGTCAGACTTGGTAAACCAGAGGAGAATATGCTTAAAGAGATGCCCATTTAATCTGATTTAATATGAAGATGCCACACTCTTTTTACATCCACTGAATCCAGCCTTTCTGGAAAGGAAAGGGGGTTAATGGATACCTCCAATCATGATTACCATATGTAATTTTGTAGGACAGATAACAAGAAATCATACCATGAACCTCTGTCAGACTGAAAGAAAAACTAAATCAACTCCCTCACATTCTCAGCTGAGGTAACTAACATCAAATTTGAGCTTAATGGACATTGAAGCTATAAGAATTTCTTTCCATGCCTAAGGAGTCTTGTCCACATTTTTGCAACTGTGCTGTCACTTTGCAATTGTCAATAGATTAATGAAATTACAGTAAAAAAATCTAGTGCCTCTTTATTCTTCCAAGGGCCTCAATATAACACAAATACAGACAGGGTGCCAAGAATTTCATCCAGCTGTTGCTCAATTGTATCCTCAACCAATGCAAACATATTTAATAACAAAGAGATTAGAGGATAAATCTAAATTTCTCTAGTAGTACCCAATTTCAAACTCCCATAGCAGGTGCAGAACAAACGTTGGGACACTCCAAGTTCTCAACCTCTGTAGGCTGTACATCATAAGAAGATCTAGGAAAATGGATATTGTAGATGAATCGTCATCATCTAAACCTTGTCCAACTATGTGGGGCCGGCTACATGAATCGTCAAATGCAGATGTCTGTTTACTCCTTGTTTTGCTAAGGAATCAACTAAGCTGTTACCTTCCCCTGTAAGAAGCAATCTTCCTTCACACTATAGGGATAGATGAAAAGTAAAAACTCTTACATTTCTTATATACAATCTCTTTCCTACATACAAACTTCACAGTGACTTCGCTTCTACCAGATTGAGCCAAATTCTTAGGATCTTCATTCACATATGCTATTGCCATCACTAGTTGTTCACGAGTTTATATCAAATCCTCCTAAAATTCTTGATTATTGTTACATTAATAGAAAAGATGGTCATAAATACTGCCTAATCTCCTTCTTTGACCATTCAAACCCAAGTAATTTGGTAAAAGGGCCATTATCCAATGTTGGTCTCAATTATACAGGGTCTTGGAAAGGGTGCTGGATCCAGATCTAATTTTTGCACAATCAATGGCCCCTAAACCCAAATAATTTAGCAATACAATAATTCTGCAGTTCAATAACCCGATTGTTCAGTAGTTATAGAGGAACTACATTGTCAACTATTCTGCTTGGAGATTCCTCCAATTTGTCCATCTAGGCACCAAGGTCAGTAAATGAAATAGCATATTCTAAAGCTAAGAATGGAGTATGTAGAAATGATTGCTTTAGCAGAGACTTGGTAACACATGATTATATTGTTTCTCCCATCACCATGTAGAGATGAAGTTATGGCAATAAGAAGAAGGTTATAACCATGACATACCTTCAGGTAGACAAACCATTGTGGATCTGTGGTGTTTCTCAAAGACTCATTATATCTTCCTTCGTTTGATTCTCATACACTTGAGGTCCTAGGCCTACTTTAAGGTAACAATTATCAACTACAAAAATTTATCAAAAAAAAAAAAAACCAACTACAAAGCCAGAGAGACAAATCCCAAACAGTCTAATATACGATTCATTTAAGGAATCAATTCTTCTAAAACACACACGCACACATGTGCACACTCTTACCACAACCTCATTTTGTCATACATGCTTCCCATATCCTAAACACTCTGAACAGAACCCAGCTAATAAATGGACCTCTAAACCTTGATTCTGAACCAGTAAGGTCAACCATATACCTTTGTCTCCAATACCAACCACTGCTACCCATGCACTGTTCTCTAGACATTCCCCAGCAACTCCCGAGATATCAATCATTTCCTACGAAGAATCTGGTCCCTCTAAAAGATTTCCACTTCCATATGTTGTCTTCCATTGTGGCTTCAATAATTTATGCCCCACTGCTCAACCTCTCCCCAGAGAAATTTCCCAATCTATATAGCAAGACCGTCCATTTACTCTCCCCAATTCATAATTGTTTTTTGACTTCTCCACCTTTGGTTCAAAAAGCATCCCAGAGGAGTGTATGGAAGCTGTTGAGTTTTCCAATCACACGGGAAAATATGTTTATTTTTAGTCCGGACAAAATCAACAAGCAGCTAATGCATAAAATTCCCTTCATTTTTTTATACCATCTGGACACAGAAACAGAGCGTCACAGCCAATTCAATAGAATCCAAGGATAAATAAGTAATAACAGAAAAGTTAAGCTATTACATAATAACCAACGATGAGAATAATTGTAGAGCAGGAAAACAAAATGACAAGAAAGAAAAGAGTAAACCTGAACGGAATATTTGACAGCGAGGCTAGCGACGGTATCTCCTCGGACCAGTCGGTGAGAGATGGCGAAACGACCAAGGCTGCTATCACGCCAGAAGCTCCTGGAACTGGGATTCCCAATTACGTCCTTCAATTTCCATAGGGTTTTGAAAGCTCTGGTCTGAATCTCTCGGTCAGAGGCAACCGAGTTCCAGAGGCGGCAAACACAGGCAGCTCGAGCGAGGTCCGATACCGGCAAGCGCACAAAGATGCTACGGAGAATGTCACTGCAACTGAGGGCGGTGAAATTCGAGTTCATAGGAGAGATGACGACATCGTCGGTGGAGGCTGGGGAGATACCGCCGGAGGTACCCAGGGTTCCGTTGGAAGTTTGGGGATCTCCCATGGGTAGGGGCAAGTCTTCGGCGGAGGAGGTTGGGTTGTTGGGGATGAGCTGCTTGAATATGTCATCTTCTTCGTCTCCACAACATCCCATAATCGATTTGACTTTAGAGAGAGAGAGAGGCTGTTTGCGGAAGTCTGTCTGTATGTGTGTGTGTGAGAGAGAGAGAGATCAGAGAGCAGAGAGGAAGGAGATCGTCGCCGTGAGTTTTTAACTGAGCTGAACTGCTGAAACTTGGAGTAATCCCAAAATGAGGAAGTTGGTGCTAATGTCACGTCGGATTGGAATCAACTAAACAAGGCCATGCTCTACCTTGCATTGATCGGGATGCCGTCCGACTGATACCAATCTGACGGTGAATAGAACCCGTGAAGATCAAAGCGACTTATAATACCAAATTCTAAAGAGAAATAGGTTGACTTCGTAATGTCGCCCGTGGGGCACCCAGCAAAATGAGATTAGATTGGCGCCCCACAAGCACATTTGAGCGTGATGGGATCTCCTTCTCACAAATGGGCACCTCACATGCACATCCACCGTTTATTGGGAACATTTCTCGTGAATATTTATTAATAAGTGCCGGAGATGTTTCCAATGCATGATAGGATGTGTGTGTGAGGCGCCAGTGAAGCGTCAATTGTGAGGAATAGATCCGATTTTCATTTGAGCGTGTATTAGGAATATCTCGTGTATTTATGATAGGGAGATGTTCTCAATACACGGCCGGGATGGATCCACTCAGTGGAGGCGTTGATGTTAATTCAATAAAGATATTAGATGCATGTAATATCGGCATGTGTCATTTCAGGACCCCTCTAATATGTCCCTACAATGGGTGTATCGAAGGTCTGACCGATTCAAGAGGTGGAGGAATCCTAAATCGGTCCCATGAACCGGTTTCAGAAAAAAAAAATTAATAAAAAGTAAAAACATAAACAGTATCAATTCGCCCGATACTTGCACCTACCTTTAAATTGTATTGTAGTGTATTCTTTTTTATTATCCACCTTCCTTTAAATTGTATTGTAGTATATTCTTTTCTATCATCCACCTACCTTTAAATTAAATTGTATTGTAGTATATTCTTCCACCTGTCATATTATAAATAGTGACAAATTTGGGAGGTGAGGACTGAGGAATCGATAATTTACCCTAAGCAAAAAATTGTAGATATATCATGAGAAGCAGAAGTACATAAAAATTCCTGATGTGCGGTTAGATGCTGTGTTCTCAGTATTTTTTTTTGCTAAAATAAATTAAAAATTATTTTCAACATCTGTCCTACAACCAAATTATAATAAAAAGGTTAACCAATGAAAGCAAATTTTATTTTCTCCCTTTTAAATTTTACCTGGTCTTACAACCCAATTTTATTTTCTCCCGCAGAAAAGAAAAACCGATTTAAAACTTATTTTGATGACCCATTTTTATTTTCCATGCAGACTTAACAGGACAAAGTCATTGATTTAAAATAACCAAGGGGTTGTTTGGCAACATGTATGAACTTGTTTTTTTCTTTTTTGTTTTGAAAAACGAAATCATTTATATTGGCCAACACCCCCTAAACAATTTATTTAAACATCTTATTTTGTTTTTTAAAATGAAATTATTACAAAAAAAAAGTTTATACTTCCATTTTAGCATTCATTTCTAAATAAAATACTTTTTATAAAAAATACCAAAATATAGGGAAGAATTTGTTATAACTTTGGACATAGATCCAAGTTTTGAAATGAAGTAATAACTTTAATTTAATGGGCAGAAATGTAAATTGATAAAGCACAATACAAAATTTTGAATTATAGGCAAACTGGTAAAGTTGAAAGGAGATACTGGAATTTTGTTCAATGTAATTGGAATTCGAAGAGGCCCACTTTGTGCAACTCTTTTTTTTTTTTTTCCTTTGTATTTTCTTATGTTTATTCAAGGGTCCAAGCCAAGGTCCATCAATGTGTATCATGGTTTTTAAAACCGGACTGGCCCAGATGGTCGGACCAAAAAAATCAGGAACCAATCATTTGACCGGTTTTGTTTTTCCCCAAAATCGGGAATTCTCAAAAAATCGTTGATTTTGATAAGCAAACCGCTGACCCGGGCGGTTAACCGTTCGAACGGTTTTGACCATTTCTTATTTTTTTATCAAAACGGGCTGACCATTAGATTTAAACGGTCACATCTGCGCCCCACAAGAAGGTGCCTCACAATGCCCTACAATACATCCCTACTTTGTATTGAGAATATCTCTCAATGATGTCTCATCATTTTCGCCCTTGTTATCGGGAGATATTCCCAATATAAGGTGGGGATGCGCTGTGGGGTATTGTGGGGTGCGGATGTGAACTCGAAAACATGACAAGGTCCGTCCCTATATTTCATTATCCTTAACTAAAGGTGGAGCCCAAGTCACTAGTCGGCCTAGCCTGCCTTCCTTTATATCTGATATGATGATATCAATTAGGGCTATTCATAAGAAGGCCCAACCCGACCAAATCGACCAACCCGGACCAACCCAACCCGAGTCGGCCGGGTTTTCATCAGCACCGGTCGGTTTCGGGTTGTACAAATTCATAAACCGATGGTTCGGGTCAGTTTCGGTTTTCTTGTGTGAAAATCGAAACCAACCCGAACCGAACCAACTTAGTTCCTACTTAACTAAAAACTGAAATATCTGAAAATACATATTCCAATATCTATTTCTAAAAAATATATATTATGAAATATGTCAGATATATATTTCCAGAAAATATATATTCTAATATATTTGTATGTATATTTTTGTTTATATATATATATATATTTCTAAAATACAGATTTCAGTTTTAAATATATTTCCAGAAAACTAGGTGGCCATGGGGGGCATGGATGAACTTAGAACCGAAACCGATCGAAACCGACCCAACCCGACTCAAACCGACCAGATCGGTTTTGCTTAACGCTGGGTCGGTTTCGGTTTCCATCTCAAGTAACCCGACCAGATCGGGTCGGTTGGAAAAATCTCAATAAACCGACCCAACCTGACCCGTGAACAACCCTAATATCAATAATCTCATGGATGTAAATATTTATGCATAGGAAAGTGTTTACTGAAAGGATGAGAGATCCATCATATGGATGGCCGAACCCTATAGGAAGGTTGGGCAAAATTTCAAAAATTTCTCTCTCCCATGTGGGAATCACATTCCCTATTTTAGAAAATTGCATTTTCTACCAAAAGGTAATATCAAGAATACTTCTTGATCACTCCCACAGGTGGAGATTGAACTGGTATGGCGACAAGAGCAGGAAAAAGTAGAAGACAGTAGCAGTCGAACTGCAGATTCTTCTCTCTTTGTAATATCTGAACTGAAAATTGTGAATTGGAGGTTCGCCCTGCTCTTCTATTTATAGCCTTTAAAGAGAGCATCTCCTAATCCCATTAGGAGTTTCCTAATCCAAATCTTGTATTTGGATCTGGACTCTCTTTAAGAGATAATGATAATCTCTTATCGTATCTGTAGATAAAGATCAACCCTCATAATCTAATCAGGAATTTCCTGATCCAAATCTTTATTTGGATCTGGACTCTCTGAGTGGATAGGGACAATCCCTTAATCTATCTGCTGATCTAAATCCCAGAACCACCCCCTTTTAATTAATCTCATTAAGCCAGTTCGAATTGGGCTTTAGGCCCATTAAGTCCATCTGCTCACTTACCCTCCAAACTGCTGCCTAGTTGGATATCATTGTATGGCGTGGGACCCAAACATTGATATACACATCAGCCACATGGGTTCAGCCCAGCCTCTGTTACAAGGCATGGCCGAATTCACTGTAAGAGACAGTGAAGCCCTGAGTCCATCACCATGGGCTCTTAATGGGCCCAACATTTACACTAAATGATCATTGGGTCAAACCATCTTATAAAAACCCAAGGACTATGGGCAGATGCAAGATTAGCCCATCAGGTATTACCCTCAATGGTCTTACACTTAACCTCTCAGCCCATAATGATCAAATACTACTCGACAAGAGATGACCTCTCCCTCGGTTGCAAGGAACAATGATGCACTCTCTACTCACATGAATCCCGGGAATTAAAATATTTTGCAAACATTTTGAAATATTTTGCAAAACAAGTTTCAACGGTTGAAATCAACTATCGGCAGTTTTGGTTTCCATCAGAGAGAGCGCATCCCCGACCATTCACTTTGTCCGACAAAGGGGCTGATCCTGTCACTATGATCACCCACTCAAATGAATTCTCGGACTGTCCCAACATACCTAGGTTTTGACCCCCTCTAAGGATCTCACTGATTGACATATCAAAGACAACCCAATCCGATACTTAGTGTAGTATCATAATTGAGTCTAGGGGTCAAGTGTAACATTGCAATTTTGGCCATCTATCTCCAAGGTCTAGGGCAATACTAGAATTTTGGTTCGGTTCAGGGTTTCAAGAAAACCCACACTACATGTACCTCAGGTCTCACCCTGGCAGCTAAGACAAGCCACCGCAACCAACTTGGCGGCACATCAATATCAGCCTTGGTAGGATAAATCTCCTTAGATCTATCCAACGACTGTAAAGATTCTAAACTAACATGAATCTCATATGTGTCCAGTTTAAGGGTATTACATAGAAACACACCATGATAACATGAATCAAATATGTACTTTATTCATTTATATTAAATGCCATAATGCACATCATTCTAATTAGAGCTAAGGACATACACTGTCTAACATTTACAGGTGGCACAAGTGAGAGAGAGGCTGAAAATAAACTAAGAAAAGAATATTATGAGTAATTATGATCTATCAGATTTTTTTTTTCTTCCTTTAACCCCATCTATACCTGTTCACCACCAAAAACAGGAAACCCATCTATACCTTTCAAGCATTTATACTTTTTCGATGTCAGCTTCCAAAGTATCTATGCATATCATATCATATTATATAGTAATGATAGTAATTTTTGAAAAATTATTCTCAATGTCTACATCTATTAATTGTGAATGCAAATTTATTTGTATTGATGCAAAATTATGATAGTGCAAACGTTTGGGTGCAAATTTTGATTTATTTTATTTGATTGCTATACAAATGAAATAAAGCAAAACTCGAAGCATAATAAAGTAAAATCCTAAACAAATTAAACTAGGATTGATATGGGGATGCAAACGGATCAGATTCTAATCAAGGTATATTCAAATCTGATATGTCACTTATGTTGAATCTAATCCAATCTGAATATCGATTGGATTTGATAGGATTCAATTTGAATTCGAATCCGACCAGTAAGTTAGATCTTTGAATCTGATCCGATTCGAATTGTTTTTTAATTAATAAATTATTAAAAGAAAAATAAAATATATTAATTTAAATAAAGTAAAAACAAAAAATACAAGTACTTTTTAATTATTTTCATCATATATATACATGTTTTTTATAAAAAATAAATAATATAACAAATTTATAAAAATATAATATACAAATATATTTATAAATAAATAAATAACATATATATATGTATTATAT